AAAAAAAAAAAGAAGAAGAAGAAGAAGAAGCCACTGAATTCCCTCAAACAGGGGAGAACTAGGAGAGGAAAGTGAAGCAGCAATTCTCATTAAATCATTGCCGGATAGTTCTAGCGATGTGAAACCGGTCTTGAAGTATGGAAGCGATGCCCTCAATAACGACACTATTATTACATTTACCGATACTAGGAGAGGAAAGTTGGTTTGATATATGTAAGAGCACGTTAAACGTTATGATTCACATTTACCGATGAATGAACTATTGAGCTATGATTTGATCGAAAAAGCATGTTTACAAATGAATGAACTATTGAGCTATGGTTTGATCGAAATTGAGACCATGTTTTTAGTATGATACAAAGCATGTTATGAGAAGCCGATTATAAATGTTTGAGCATAAAATGAGTTGAGATAATACAAGTAGAATGCTATTATGCATGTTACTAAAAACGTATGCACTGTTTTATGAACTGAAATTCATGACTAGGTATCCATGTTTAAGATTATGTATATATATATATATATGATATATGATATCTTCATGATGTATGCGGTTATACGCAGACGATTAGGAGTTCGCCAACTAACCTCTAATTATGAACCTGACTTGATTGTCAGGGGTCATGATAACCATAGAACTAGTTTATGATATTTTATGATTTGTGCCTAGTGTGGAATATTAGAAAGTCTGTCAGTTAATTTTCTTTTAGTGAACTTGCCACGAACGATAGGGGTCCATAGTTGTACATTAGAGTTGGTTGAGCCTTAACATCCATGGACCCTATGAAATGTATACCGAGGTTGCGCCTCGAGGACTTAGAAATATGATGATGAGAGAGACTAGCAGAAACAACTAACTAGAAGACATAGATAACTCAAGAATATTCTGAGGGCTAGAGGTCCAGATGGACCAAGAACCAACAAAAATAGAAAGAGTAAACCTAGGGTGTAGCCTAAGAAGAGCCTATGTTTAGGAACGAATCCCCATATGAGAATAAGACACATAACAAGTTAACTAAGATATATTTGATAACGAACTAGGAACTACCAGCAAGCTGTTTACCAAGTATATTTTATATACTCATCCTTGCTACTTTGACTTTCTTTTAGATGAGGCATGATTGAGCAAACGCAGCAGAGGCACACAGAAGCTAGAGGCTATGAAATTTTGGGCTAGATCGGGGTCGTGTACCCCATTAATATGTTTTCCTTACGAAGCCTTAATGTTTTGTATTTCTGGATTTTTTCAAACTATTGGTGTCGTGTTTTTTTATGTGTGCGTCGTATGGGTCATCAGTTTGTGATGTATTTCAAAACGATGTCATACTAAATCTAACCTTTATTTATGTGCATGCATGTTTAGAAGTTTTAAATTTTTTCGTACTTTTTTACTTATTTCCACGTTAGTTAGTAACCGTCCATGGATCAAGTCCCTTGAAGAGTGGATCGTTACAAAGACAATAGAGACAATACTACTTAGAGATGTTAGACATGTTCCAAGGTTAAAAAGAAATTAGATTTTAATGGGAATGCCTTGATGGTCAAGGCTGTTCCTTCTCTGGCAGTAAAGGAGGCTTCAAAATAGATAAGGGAAGGAGGACTCCGTTCAAGGGAAAACAATAAGAATGGGTGTACCATCATTAAGAACATTTCTTTTCCAGCACACTATTGTGTAGCACAAAAGAATGAAGTTAATGAAATAGATTTTTCCCATAGAAGACTCTCACATCAGTGAAAAAAATGTCTACAAGAACTTGAGAAACAGGGGCTGGTTAAGTCTTAAGGCTCTAGGAGCCTTATAATTTCTGTGAACATTGTGTCTTTGGACAGTCTAAAGGCTCAAATTCTCAAATTTGTGTCCAGCAAAGGCACCTTCATGGAGAGGTTCAAGTTACTTTCTTTCTTTAATTGATTACTACTCTAGGCAGGTCTAGACATTCAAGCTTAAGACTAAAAATCAAACAATCAACAAATTTAGAACCTGGATGGAGGTTATTGAGAATCGAACTAATAGGAAGATTAATTCTTAAGAACCGAAAGGAATTAGAAATTTTGGGGCATCAATTTAATAGACTTAGTGTTGAGAATGGCTCTCGACTACTGATAGTTGAAAATGAGAGCGCTAGCCGCAGCGTATTCTACCGATTAGGCATGGTTGCGGCTACATCTTAGATGCATTTTTTTAATGTTTTTCAACTTCGGTGGGTTTTTGTCTTGATCTTAAACCTAAACAAGATATTAACATCCAAAAGATTAATAGCAACTTCAAGGACTAAACGAATCCGTTCAAGACTATGCACAAAACAGTTTCAAATGCAAAAAAAGAAAGAAAAAAAACACATTCTACAAATTAGATTAGGGTTCGATTGGATTTAGAGTAACTTTACCCAAGAAATCCTCGCGAAATAGTGTTGTTCGACCTCGAATAGGCTCCAATCCGTAGATCAAAGGTCCAAACGTCGTGGATATTGTTTTGTCGGAACAATACCTCGCCGGAAATGCAAGAGAGAATCGTATTGGTCAGATCTGGAAGGTAGCAAACGAGGTGGATGACGCGATAGTTGCTGCTCGAAGGGCGGCTGGGAGCGACGGCGCACAAACTGACAGCGAGGAGAAGGGAGACGGCGACGACTGCGGCATTGACCGAAGAAGAAGAAGAAGAATCGTGTGGCGCGAGCGTGGAGCTTACGGTTTTCTTATCCTCATTTTAAACCAACACCACCATTTCCAAACTCTCAACTCTAAATTCAAACTCAAATTTCTCTAAAATTACACACTAAACAACAATCCCAATGAGTTTGATTAAGTTAAATTAATTCCATAATCAAATAATTAGTAATTTCGTATCAAATTATACTTTAAAATTGATTACGTTAGTCATTACTTATAACGGTGGGACGTTATCATTGAGAGAAGAACTACTCAATGAATCAAGTAGGTGGAAATTGCACTATAAATTTCAACCGTGTTCATCCACATGTGACAGAAGGAAAAAAATTTCTTATGAAATAACTTGGACACGAAACACACCGCTTCTCAAACAAAGCAACATTACGAGCTAAAAGTGAATCAAGAACTTGTCAACGACATCATGTTCTTAAACTCCTCGAAATCGAGCATCCCATCCAAATTGGTATCATAAGCTCGGATCATACTTTTACAATCAATACCACTTCTGTTTACATCCCAAATCTCTAGTCTTGACAACACATGTTGGAGCTCCTCGCAAGAAATGAAGCCATCATCGTTCATATCGAACACTTTAAACGCCATATATACAATGTCGACATCATCCTCTCTTGCGTTGACATCGCTCACACCTCCCTTGCACTCGCCTTTGTTTTGCTTTGATATCGATTCATAAAAGAACAAGAACTCGTTGAAGTCGAGGCTTGGTTTCTCTAGAAATGAGTGCAAGTCCTCCATGGTTAGCTCGACGCCGATCGTGTCGAGGAGCCAGCTGAGCTCGTGTAGACAAATGAGGCCATCGCGGTTCTTGTCGAGCTTGTTGAAGATCCGGAGCAAGTCGTTGATGTTAATAATAGGAGACATGTTTTATGGTTGTTTGGGGTTAGAACAGCAGATTTTATAGAGAAGTTTGAAATAAAACCAAGGGAGGAAATGGATGGGCGTTGGCGCCAGGAAATTCTTAATTCTATTGAGAGTCAGTGGACAGAATATTGGGCATTGGATCCGAATTTATTCTTAATTTTCTCAAACGTCGTCCAACGTGGTGGCAGGGCTGGAAATTTTGGTTATGGCCTTGAACAACCTGCATTTGGTGCCTACCAAGAAATTGCCATTTTCATTCTCACAATTCAACTACTTTTCACTTCTCTCGAACCAACATCTTCTCGGAAGTTCGACTTTAGTTTTCATGGAGTATATTTTCTCTGGGGCCACCGTTCGTAGATGCCTTTGAACTTTCATTTCCACGCTTCTCCTCAAGATTTCTCCTCAAGATTTTTAAAACATAGAGATGTATTTCTACATCCTTATAAAAAAACGTCTCATTTTTCTCTCCAACCGATGTGGTATCTCACAATCCACCCCTATCTCCATCGGAGCCCAGCGTCCTCGCTGACACTCGTTCTCTTCTCCAATCAATACAGGATCTCACAATTCACTCTCCTTTGGGGCCCGACATCCTCGCTAACACTTGTTCCTCTCTAATCAATATGGAATATCACAATCCACCCTCTTTGAGTCCCAGCGTCCTCCTTGGCATAATCAATATGGAATATCACAATCCACCCTCTTTGAGTCCCAGCGTCCTCCTTGGCATATTGTTTAATGTTTGGCTCTAATACCATTTGTAACAGTCCAAGCCCACCGCTAACAGATATTGTCCTCTTTAGGCTTTCCCTTTCGAGTTTCCCCTTATTGTCCTCTTTAGGCTTTCCCTTTCGAGTTTACCCTCAAAGTTTTTAAAACGGTGTCTGTTAAGGAGAAATTTTCGCACTCTTATAAAGAATTTTTTGCTTCCTCAAACTAACCAACGTGGGATCTCACACATAGTGCGGTGAAAATATTCTCAAGGCGGCTAGAATGAAGTGTCAAATTGGAAAAAATGGGCACCACTTTCTAGAAATGAAAGGTCCAAGGCAAGAGAAGCATCATAGGAATTTCATTCATCATCTCAAAATATTATTACACAACAAAATTATTCAAGGTGAACTTGGAATACATATTTATTATAGAACAAAAATGTTACAAAATTTATTTTCCTAGGGGAAGGAAAAAACTTATTTTGCAGAGAAAAATGGTTCAACAAACCCCACGAATTCATCAACTTCACCTTCAAAGCATTTCCAGCTGAAGTTGAGGGCTAATTTCTTTCTTCCTGCTCGATTTTGTTGATTCTGAACCCTCTTATTCTTATTTCCTCTGGCACTGAAGTGTCTTTATAATCCACGGGTTCAAGAGCCCAACCCTTGTTTTGCACTGAACCACTCACTTTTACCTGCCAAAACGAGTACCCAATGGCTCATGTTTTAAGATTGTAGGCGCCAGAGAAAAATTTTATACATGGGGCAGATCTTAGGATAAATTTGTGACGACTTAAAACGTCGAATTTAATAAAAACCGAAGTCGGCATACCTCAGCATCTTCAACTGCATTCACAATAAGAGTTCCATCCAAGGAGAGGTCTTGAAGATAAACATTACGTCCCTTGATGACCATAGTAGAACGCTGAGAAATGGAGCATTTTCCACTAACTTTGCTTTTTATATCTGAAAAGGTCAATGCCCATTTCGGTTTCCATGTGATGCGAGGCCAGACTTCAACCTCTTGTCCATTGAATGCCTGTTGGACTGGATCGGCTACTTGAACTCCTGCCTGGCAAGATGTAATAGGCCAAATTCTCGAAGTTAAAACGAGTAAATTTTCTGATTTTACAGACTGGACTTCATTTTATAGACCGTCATTATGGCCCGCCTTCTATAGACTCAAAAGCTTATTACTTACGAACAAAAAATTCAAACTCTTCACAGAGTTTCTCATTTTGGATAGAGAGAGTTGTCATATGATACCTTTCTGAGAACAAGAGAATTTGCACGATATATGGCCATCTCGCCCGAAGTGGCACTGTGATATGGGTTTCCCTTCGGTACCTAAACAAAATAAAGTCCATAATTCTGAGTGGTAAGAACGCCAAACACGAAAAAGATATCAAGATATTCAAAGTTCAAAATAATGGGGGGAAAATAATCTGGACTCGAAAAGAAGATATAGATAAGAAAGAATATCTTGAGATTGCAAAATCAAGAAGAAAAATGAGAGGGGGAAAACACATCTAGAGCTGTTATAAATGTTTTAACGATATCTAAAATTTTAGAACAATTTGTTTGATGTAAATTAGACTATGAGTTTCAATTTTACCTTAGCAGCATCTTCGGGGTTATTCTTCACCGGTGCATAAGCAAGCCAGGTATCCATCACCTGAAAAAGAGGAACATAGAAAGTTTAGATACAAAAATAAGAATTTAATGAGGATTATAAGACAGTTCTACCAGACTCAAAAAAATAAAAATAAAAGAATCAGATAGTTGCTTTTTAGCTTTTTTGAAAATCGGCATAACTTCCCAGCCTAGGAGAAGAAAAGTTACCGTAAATCCAACCCTAGCTGAGGGAGGTAATGTTTTCGGATAATCTTGCATCATACATTCCAATCTGGTTGAAGACTTGAAAGAAGTCTTGCTAGCATCTTTATATCTGCAAAATTGTTTAAGATGAAGGAATTTCTTAGAAGCTACCAGAGTGTTCAGTTTTCAGTTTCACACCAAAAGAAATACAAACTCTACATCAGAACTCCAAAAAATAAGGGCAAGAAAAATACTTGGGATTGACAAACTCCTTTATGGCACCTCCAGTTTTGCTCAGCTCATCAATATAGGGCCCAAGTTCTAAAATTAGCTGCAAAAAATATTTTGAAGTGCAATCAAGCATAAGACCAGAGAATAACCAATCCACCAAATAACAAGAGAACATAAAACCCACAGAACAAGATCTCCTCGCATTTCTAATCATGTGACAGACATGTTGAAAGCATTTTTGATAGATAGTACTAAGAGTCAAAGCAGTTGAGAGAGAAGTACAATCCAGGAAAAGTCAACAAGTTACCTGTCTCTCCCAACTTCCAGCCAACCACCTAACGACTACTTCGCCCCTTACATTTACCCATGTACTTTCTAGATTCCCACCAACTAAGTTATTTACAATAACTGTTCATATTTACACCTCACTACTTACATGTTAAGGGAAGAAGAAATGCTGGGTATTTGAGAGAAGATTACTTGGTTTATATTTCCTGGAAAAGGAGAGAAGCCAGTCTCATTGTTGACATCGCCATCAGGAAATCCAGTTGCTCTAAGCAGTGGGTCAAGCTGATTATATTCCACATTGATTACCATAGACCTCCCTGATAAATAACAAAAATACAGCTTCATATGGGATTTTTTTTTGAAGTCAAGGCCGTAAAAGTTGAGATTCCTCGTTATCTCATAGTTACACTAACAGCAGCTTAAAACTGTGATTATCCACATTAGACAAAAATTTACAGATTTAAGGTCCACCAGTAAGTAAGAGAAAAATATCGGCATGGATTCCTATTTTTACATGTAGCCTGACATTAAACAATAAATATTTTAAAATATGCAGAGGAATAGTAGTTTCCTATTTCTAAGCATGAGGAATTGAAATTAATTAGGCTTGTTGGTAGTACCATCAGCATGAGTAAGACGAGTAATTCCACCAATGGCTTCTTTTGCTTTGCGTGGAACAGCAAGAGAATTAACATGATAATCTCTTGTAGCACTAACACCCAAAGAAGCTGGAATTGCCTGCATGATGCAAGTAAAAGGGAATGAATTATAATAGGTACAAGTTCAAAGATATCCAAAAGACTTGGATGGTCAAGGAAAAACCTTGAATAGAAGCCCATTTGTATCTTGGAAAAAGAGAACCCATCTTAAACCAGCATCGAGCCTAAGGAAATCAATCCAGCAATAAAACAATGCAATGTACAAGAAGGGTTAATAAAAGAAAATGTCATCCAACATGAATCAATCCTAAAAGAAAATACTTCATCAACTGTTAACGTAAGAAACATAATATAATTTGTGTTACAGAACTTGATGCCCTAATAGGCTCAAATTCAAAAACAAAATTCTTCACAATATAAAGCATACCAATCAGTCCAAAGTTTTTCTTTTTAATTGGAACCCATCAGCCTAAAAGATTCTAGCTTAATGGCACATGAAATGACCATTAATAATACTAAGAACAAAGGTCCAAAGTACAGTTGAGTGCAAGGTCATGAGAAGTATAAGTTAAGACCATGTGACTTACCAATTTTTGAGAAGGCCACTAGAGTAGAGAAGTGCATGAACATCCCCATGGCCATGAGGCTTGGTCTATGAAATGAGAAAGGTTTAAGAGTGAACATATATTATATTATTTATAATAAAAAGGCTTGATGCGTAAGTAAAATGGCAATAAAACATTGTCCGTATGGGTGTAACTTTCTATGTTGAGTATTTACCCCACGATATAATTAAAACCTAAATGTTCCGACCCAAATTAAAAAGTCATCAAATATTATCATAAGGCACCTCACATCTTATCTCACCCCCAATAAAAAAGAAAGAGAGAGAGAAAAAACTCACTTGATAAAGTATTATTATAAGATACTTTAAAGTTTAAATATCATGTCACAATTTCATTCTCCAATTTCAACAACAATATTGCGAACGAAGTTGGTCGAAAATGTTAAAACATTGGGGATAAAATTGGAAAAACAGTATATACTTCAAGGATGAAATGATATATTTAGCATAAGCTCCCTAGACGGAAAAGAGAGGCAAGGAAGAGAAAGAGCATGCATACCTGAATCCTATACTTGTTATGTGGATCAACGGCAAGCCTGGCATCATTATCATCCAAACAGGCAACTTTTTCCTAAGATAAAAAAAATAGTTCAGAGTTTTATGTTATTTTAGAACTGAAATGAACTACTCTAATGAACCATACAAAATCTTACCTGTTTTAAAAGTTTAACTTGTGTGGGTTTCATTCCAAAATAAGAATTTGATTCCAACAGCTCTAATGTACGTGTATGAGTATCATCTGATGTCATTATAACAAAAGGAATCTCTGCTTGACTTTCACCTACAAAGTTAAAAAGAAAAGGACATTGTCACTTCCCATGCACGAAAAAAATGCCAACTGGCT